ACTTTTAACCATCATTTGTAACAAGTTCCGGGACAAAATTTTAGATACATGATAGTAGGGGTCTATCAGTGAAGCGCACACTAAACGATAATGTACTCAGAAATCGGTTAAACATTTTTGCAAAAAATGGTGGTTTTTGTTCCCTATTGACTGGACTAAGGATATATGTAGGACATTTCCCGCAAAAAATTTTATATATATAATCATACAAAAATTAATACATGTAATTATTATACAAACTCGATTCAGTTTGTTTTTTAACTGATAAATTCATAATTAATTATGAATTTTATGTCAAAATGTAGATATTTATTATTTATTTAGTTTACTTATTTATTATTTATTTAGTTACTTATTTACGCGAATAATTTCACAAAAGAATCTCATTTTTTTCATAATGTTACAATATTATACAAAAGTTTTAAATTTTCTTTGTACGTAAAAATTAGAATGTTAAAACCAAAGGAAGAAAAGTAAAAAACTGTTAGTGTATCATTATTTGCAACAATAAATAACTTGAATAAAGATCCAAATAAAATTATTAGAAATAACTTGGCAATTTTTTCAAATCAAAGTAAACAATTTGAACACATTCGAGACTGACATCCTATAAGTAAAAGTATTCACAGAATTAGACATAGCCTACATGCTCATTGACATGACCCACATACCGAGTCATCGATCTCGAATATATTAATATCGAGATGGTGATAATGATTATTTAGTTATGTATTTATTTATTTATTTTATGTAAAGACTTACAAAAAATACAAACAAAGATTTATAATTTTTGTAATTACAATAATAGAATATTTAAAATATTCTTTATTCAAAATATTGTTTCTTGTTTGTATGTAACAAAATTAATAAGTAAAAAAAAAGATCGATGAAATAAATAACAATAACAATCAGTATTACATTTATATTTCCACCGAAATGTAATTTACAATTTTTTCCTTACTTTATGAGTTTCTTTCCGTAATTAATCCTTTTGTTACTATGGACGAGATATCTCGCCAACACAATATCATTTATGCGACGCTTTAGACGAGATATCTCGCATCACAACTTCCGTTATTCGAAAGTGCTATAGACGAGATATCTCGTATACTTTAATTTGTCATCTAAAAATTTAGAATAAAGAATCCATGTAAAGACATTTTATTGATATCTTGTCCATAACACAGCACAATAGAAATTGCGACGCGAGATATCTCGTCATTAGCGTCATCTTAAGCGACATTGTGATGGAGAAATATCTCGTTCTTGGTAACAAAAAGATTAATTAAATAAATAAATAAACAGACTCATTATTGACACATCTCGATATTAGAATTATTTAGTTTTATTAACAAAACATGCAAGTAATCGTTCGTAATTTGCTAATTAAAATGAAACATCTATGTTTTCGCGATCAGTCATCGTTATTTTTCATCTGCCATTATGTATATGCTATAGTATATGTTGTTATGTTAGCTCCTCCTGCACTGTTGCTACGAATAACAACCGTAAGCGCGCGAAGCGCGGCGGGCAGTCTTACGCGCGTAAGACAGCCCGATGCATGTTTATTCGCGGATCTTTGTTAATTAAAATCTCGGTAATTATTGCGAATCTAGCAAAATGGTATAGAACTTTTCAACTCAATTTTACTCCTTTTACTTACCTACGAGAGATGTTATACAAATTCTGGAACACCCTTATATAATAGAACAAGTAGATAGCTTGTAGACATCTACCCTGACGAAAATAAGAAGCTTTACAGAGCGTTGATAACCGTTTAATGAGAATTTTCTGAGAGTTTATAC